CCCTATCGCCATTTTCTGGCTCCGTCCCTGCCGACTTGTGTATGGTCTGGCCATAGTCCGACTGTTGTATGGGTAGTGTACGTCCTTGTCGAGCGCGTGGTGGGTGCGTGTGTGCGTGCACCTAGCGGGCATGCGTAGGATTAGGCTCAAGCGGTTGAGAGATTGCGAGGTGGGCGTGATCGCTGGGCCAAAGTTACTGTTCTGACCTCGTCAGAAATCTTTAACACAAAATGACCTCTCTCAGAAATTATTTTACGATCTGATCCTTTCTAAAACGCCAAATCTCGTGGCGTTACTGACCAAAGTAGAAACGCCGTACTATTCAGCGTTGCTAGCTGCCCACGTGGCAAGTCCAAACGCCAACATGAGCCGCGTTGGTAGAAACGCCAGACCCTCTCGCGTTGCTGTTTCACATCACAACGCCAAAGGCTGTGGCGTTGGCATCAAGGAGAATATGGCTGTAGGAGGGCTGCTGCCTTGCCTTGCCGATAATGTTTGGCCATGAAAGAGGTTAGCATTGCTATTATTTTGCAGTCCATGTGCTAAATATATTAAATTAATCTCTTTCGGATTGTAGAATTTAATTAGGTACTAAAATAATGGTTCATTTATTTCTCGGTGTTCCTGCGGGTGATGCGGTAGCCAGAGCAACTCCAACGCGGCGACCCATTTCGTCCGTCACCGTCGGTTTGGGTCACCGCGGACAAAAGTGATGGCCCAACGCGCCGACCCATTTACGAAACGCGTCTGCTTCGCGTCTGCGTGGACCCATTTTCAGCCTAAATTTATGCATAAATTGCGTCAGCGCGGATACAAAGCGGACGCGTCAGCATGTCCTCTCGGTGTCCACCGCGTCCCCACATGGCAGCCTGACAACTAACCCACGCTTCTTTATTAATGACGATCGCAAACCGTGGGCCCATCGTCACTGGCGGCAGGTAGCCTTTTTTTATCCGAGTGTGCGAGAAGGGGAGGGGGCGCCCTCATCCTCTTCCAGCCTCCCGTCCCCATCTAGCCACCCTTCTGTTCCCCTGGGCTGGGCCCGGCGCCGACGCTCATCGACCTCACCGGCCCCACCACGACGACAAGGACACCTCGAGCAGCGCGTCTCCTCCTCGTTTTTAGTTTAATTAAATGTTTTTAATTAATGTGACGTGGATTTGTGGACTCTCGCCGGCCTTTGTGGCCGGCATTTATGTTTATTTAACATTTTAACTTCAAAATATTTGCGTAATTTATTTTTTCGCGCGCGGACTCGAAAAATGGGTCCGACCAGCAATGGGCGCAAGCGCTGACCCAAACGTGAAAGCAGAAATGGGTGTTGCTCTCACGTACAAAAACCGCGAGAGGTTGACCGACCCAAACGAACAAAAAACGCGCAAAATCGCTGTCCCTTTGGGTCGGCTGGTTGGAGTTGCTCTCACGTATAGAAACGGCAAGAGGTCGGCACAGTATCTGCGAAACTCAGGCTTTTCATACCTGAAGGTCAAAGTCTACAATGGGTACTACATGTTGGGCCTTGGTGGCTGACACATGACATGAGAGATTGGTGTTGGGCAACGCTACAGACTTTGGTGTTGTGAGGTGCAACAGCAACACCAAGTGGTCTGGCGTTTCTACCAACGCGGTAAAGTTTGACGTTTTGACTTGCCACGTGGCCGGCTAGCAACGCTGAATAGTACGACGTTTCTATTTTGGTTAGTAACGCTACGAGGTTTGGCGTTTCAGAAAGGGTCAGATTGTGAAATAGTTTCTGAGAGAGATCATTTTGTGTTAAAGATTTTTGACAAGGTCAGAACAGTGATTTTGGCCTGATCGCTGCGGGCTCGTCGCGAGCCGTGCGCGTGGTGGCCGCGAGCGGAGCGGGCCGAAAGGGGCGACGGCTGGGTAGGGAGAGTGCGGCTCGTGCCCAGCGCAGGCCCAGCTATATAATGCCTCGAGCTGATCATTGTAACTCTCCTGGTGGGTCGAGTTCGTGCTCGAGAGAAAAGAGGATAGCCGTTGTTGCGGCGGGCCTACGTGCGCCAGAAAGTTCACCGTGTCCAGCCCTTTCTTCTTATGTGTGCGCCTGAGAGAGAAGTACAGAGAGAGAGCTCCGGCGAGCTAGAGCAAGGCCTCGGCTCCAACAGATGCGCCTGCGGTTGACATTTCTCTTATTTTTATTTCCCGCTCGATAAATCCCACCTTCTGGTGCAATTTACTTGGAGATCAGTGAGGAGCAAAGGCAACAAGGCCGGGTAGGAGCGTGATTGAGCCGGCTCACGGTGCCGTAAGTGGAGGAGCAAATACAAAACGAACACAATTTATAGACAAACCGTCTACATTTGCATAGTAATCCTTGTTGACACACGGTAAGGTATGTCTCCAAGAGCATTATTATAAGTTGGCTAAATTAAACAAACTGGGGAACTGAATTCAACACACGAATACTGAAACCCGGGGTGCATATCTGGTGATACGGCCCAGCATATGCTCCCCTGCTCCAGAACAGTCTGGTGCGTTGGATCTGGACTCTAGGGACAAGATGGAGCACACTGACTTCCTTCTGAAAAATATACAAAAAAGAACCTTGGTTATGCTGCAATTCAGGGACAGGTGCACATCTGTTCGTTCTGTAGGTCTCCTTCAATTCCATTTACTGGAGCCACATCAACTTGTCTAGTTCTTGGTAGTAGGAAATATTGGAATTTTTATATTTATGGGAACATAGTAGCTTGTATTTAGGGGAATATAGAAATTTTTGTAGCGCCACAACATTTGCAGCCAGGCTTTTCAAGATCATTTGTAGCCCAAGTTTTGACATGAGGAACAAGCATCTTACGAGGTGCGTTCACAAGCAAGAATGACAGTCTCACAAAAATTTATAGGTCTACACTAGTAGAAAACAGGGCTTTGGTCCAGGCCAGGTTAGCCCATTAGTCCCGGTTCAGTCCAGAACCGGGACCAATGGGGGCATTGGTCTCGGTTCGTGAGCCCAGGGAGCCGGCCGGGCCACGTGGGTCATTGGTCCCGGTTCATCTGGACCTTTTGGTCCCGGTTGGTGGGATGAACCGGGACCAATGGGCCTCGCTCCTGGCCCACAACCATTGGTCCCGGTTCGCACCTCAAACCGGGACTAAAGATTAGACCTTTAGTCCCGGTTTGAGGCACGAACCGCGACTAATGGGGTTGAGACCTTTAGTCCCGGTTCGTGCCACGAACCGGTACTAAAGATCCCATTTTCAAACTCTACCCCCTCCCCCCTCCCTGGATCGCCTTTTCAGTTTAAAAAAAATGATGGAAATGTCAAAAAAATAAAAGAAAATAAGTTTCCCATGTGATATGTGGTCTAGTTGTTGGGAAAATTTGCAAATATGAATTTTGACTTTATTTGCAACCCCATTAAACATTTTCAAAATCCTCAAAAACCTATAGAAAAAAAGTTACGGGGCTTTTAAGATCTAGAGTGAAAAAATCGAAAAAAATTCAAACAGTGGGCAAACTGTGGTCAAACAATGGTCAAACTAATTATTCTAGAATATTAGTGTTACTAAATAATTATTTCAGTTATTTCAATTTTGGTCAAATCTGGTCAAACTGTGGTCAAACAATGGTCAAACTAATTATTCAAGAAATATTAGTGTTACTAAATAATTATTGTTTTTTAAAACAATAGTTTCAAAATAAAACTATGAAATGTGCCACTTCATGCTCAAGCAAAATTCCTGAAGGTTAATAGGATTGACATCTTAGTATTGTCAGGAAAACAATAAGTGCAGACTTGGAGCGAGGGAGAATAGAACCCGAAAGTTAAGCGTGCTCAGGCTGGGGGAGTGGGAGGATGGGTGACCGTTCAGGAAGTTTGATGATTTAGAATGATGAGGGGTGATTAGAGGATAAATTGAGAAGTGATGAGGGGTGGTGATTACAAACTAGAGGTTAAAATAATTCAGAAATCTAAAAATCAAAAAAAAATTCAAAAAAAAATTTCAAAAAAAAATCATAAAATTTCCTTTAGTCCCGGTTGGTGTTACCAACCGGAACTAAAGGTGGAGCTCCACGTGGCCGCGCCCTTTAGTCCCGGTTCTGGATTGAACCGGGACTAAAGGGAGAGGCATTAGTACCGACCCTTTAGTCCCGGTTCCAGAACCGGGACTAAAGGCTCTTATGAACCGGGACTAAAGGCCCTTTTTCTACTAGTGCTAATTGTTGATTTTGTCATGCAGGTGTGCTTTTGTGCCCGGCACTTGATGGTGTACGAGGAGAGTAACGACTCATAGAGTGGACTGTAGTTAAATTGTTTAGTTTAGCTATGTGAATCTGTGAATTAAAATGGTACTCTTGTAAATTTATATATTGTATGATCACCGTGTGGTACTCTTGTGAATTACTAGTACTAGACAAAGATGTCAGCATGTGCTGCACCTTCATTTGTTGATGTGCTTTTGTTTTCAGCGATCTTTTGGTGCTATGAATGAATTCTCCGTACTTGCCGTGTGATCAGATAGTCTCATTACCATTGTTTGGCTAAAGTCCTGCTTTCAGGATAGTGAGCGCTGCAAAATGGATGCCAATACATTTTCTTCTGCTTATACTTTCCGAGCAGCAAATTCTGGAAAACGATTAGCACGTCCGATCTCTTCTTTGCATTACAGTGAATAAATCTGTTGCAGAAACAAATTCTGTACATGTAGTTGCAATGTCCTTCTAATAATCTGGTGCAAGTTTGCTTAATCTGCCCCTTTTGATATACACTGGATGTTGGCAGCGACCTAGCAAGATGCTCAGTTCAGTACAGAACATATGTCTGGTTGAGTACATAATCTGCTGTCGAGGACAGAGTATGGAGATCTATTGTGGGCAAGATGCGAATGTACCAAGGGGGTGTATGTAAAAAAGATAAGTGAATTGATCTTACCCCTTCCATGCAGATCCAACGCACCAGGAGATCTTGTAGCAGCGTATCATGGGATGAACCGTAGCACTGGATATTTTCCCCTGAAACCCGAAGCAAATTTGCTTTAAGCAGCAAAGTAGGCAATTATAGTAGGTGCGTTCTCACGATTGTGCCCTGCAGAGAACATGCAACAAAATCCAAGTTAGATCATGCCAGCACTTGAGAAATGTGGAACACGTGACTTTACTACTAGGACTACCTTAACCTTAGGTTATTTCCAAAGCAAATGTTTGTTGTTTTTGGCTGGCCGCCATAAGCCTAAGTTGTGTTTATTGCTGAGAAATTTGAATTAAGTTTCCGTAGCTGTTGGTTTATGAGTCTCAATAGTGCTTCTGTTGTGCATAGGATTATTTGAAAGGCGTTATAAATCTCATCGACAAATTAGCATATGTTTTACATGAGATGGAAGAGAGTACGTATTTGGGAGTTGGGAGAGATGTTTGCTGATCCAACTACAAGCCCGAACCACCTGCCTGCAGTAGTGGCGAAATGCTGAGAAGAGAATAAATGGATTCCTCATGCTCAAAAGCTTTGACGCCAAAACGAAAGAACCAATAGTTCTCAAGCTTCAATGCCGTCTCTGCTACTTCTTTCAGTGCATTTTCCATTTCATGCTTCAGGAAAATGTTAATGTACTCTTGGTCCTCATTCATCATCCAGTTCATTTGTTGAATCACCGCCCTTCTTATGCCTGGAGCATCGGAAGTTGGAGACTTGTACACTTCCAGTATCTTTGCAAGCATCTGGACGAACATATCGTCTGTAATCTCAGCACTCCTCAGCGCATCGGTGAACTGCTTTGCATTCCCGCTGATGCAAATTTGCATGCACAGGCCAATAAAGCTCTCCAGCAGCTTACCTTGTTCAGTTATCAGCGCCTCCATTTCCTACATATACAGCGCATATGATTCTAAGGACAACATTATTCCAACAAAATATATGTAGTAAAGGAAAACTAGTAGAATCGGAATGACAGGCCCTGTGAATTTACTATTAAACAGGGAAGATGGAGAACTCTGTTTTCTTACATGACCAGAAGGTTCATCAGCACAACCTGTCCCTTCTATTTTATCCGATGCAATTTTGATTGCTTCCAATACCTGTGGCAGTATTCATATACTTGTCATCCCCAAAAGTCAAATGTATACTAGTGAGTTTAAAATAAAATACGGATTTATCATGCAAGGGTGATATATATGTATATGCACTCCATTTCAAGCATAATATGTCAGATGAAGATAAATAAAAACTATATGCTTCAGCAGAACGAAGTGTAAGATAACCAAAGCCAACCTTTTTATTTTTCGAATATGGGTGCAAAATAGATAGAAGCTAATTTTCCGTTCCAAATTTTGAATCAGGATTGGTGCTGGTTTAGAAGTTACCTTTGGTAGAGCTTTGTTGATTATCTCCAGCTGATCACCATATTCTGCTCGCTGGTAACTCCGCAGATTCTGCAGGAATTTCGTCACCATAATTCTGTGCTCTGCAGACTCATCAGAGAGCAGCGAGACAATTCGCTGCATGTCTTCAAGCTTAGTTTCTGACAATACTGGCTTGATGCTCCTTTCACTCACTGTACTGAGCACACCAATTTCTCTGGTAGGAGCAGTGAGCAATACCAACGCTTCGGCTGCCGACATTCTCACGGAGCTTTCTTGGACTTGGACGTCATCAATTTCTTCAGCTAGGAGACTGATGAGTTTCCGGATGATCAGGTGTGACCTTTCTATCTCCTTTCTCGCAGTGTCATTTGAAGCTAGGCATGCAAGGATGTCTGCTGCTTGAGCAAGCATCTTTGGTTGGCTTTCAGGATGATCTATGAAGAACTTGCCAATATTCCTTATGGTGTACATATTACTGGACACTTGGCACCTGAGCTCCTCGCCGGTCTCACCAACTGTGCTCACAAGCTTGCTCAAGACTTCTAGTGAGTTTTCGACTATCTTTTTATCAATATCGGAGTCTAGCTTTTCATCCTGGCAGCTTGTAATGTGTATGATCTTGGAGAGCAGGTTCTTGGCATTCTTCACCTCTGCACAGTTTTCTGGATTAGTCAGGAGTTTGTCGAGAATATCCACACCAAGCAATTTGAGCTCTTTGCTCGCACAGGTTGAATTGCTGGAGCTTCCGCTGGTCTTTGTCTTGCGTGCGCTAAGCAGTGAAGAAATAGCCTGAAAAATACCAGGAAAGCTCTCGACTTGAAGGCCAGGTGCGAGCTCCAGCAGTATGCGCGCAGCGTGCCCTCTGGTATCTTGTTCCACCTCTCTGTCCAAGCCCATCATGTATACTGCTTTCTCGACGGTATCAAGAGAAGATCGAATCTTTGTGAGCACCTTTTCCTTGTAGCGTTCATCTTGGTCTTCCCTGCTTCTGAGGAGGTGGTCAAGAATACGAATTCCCAACAGCTGGTCGTCCAGTGGGTCAGAGTTCAACAACTGCTTTGCAAAGGAAACCAAGTCCATGTTGACTGCTTCACGAAGATCTCCATTAATGCATTTCAAAACGCATGCCTGTAGATAGCGAGAAAGAGCTAGAAACCCCCAAATTCCTAGCTTATACTTCATACAGACTACACATATCCGTTTCAACGGGTTTGCCAGTATCCCAGTCAGGAAATAGAGAATGCATTGGCTGAGCACTAATGCATAGAAGATGTTCAGAGACCACCTAATGTTCTTATGATCATCGTTCCCTTGATTCTGTTGATCCACATAATCTTGCCTTTTCAGACGCAATGAAGACAAAACAATGCAAGCAATGATTGCGGCCAGCTGCACTTGTCCAAGGATACTTGAGAAGAGGACAGCGAAGCAAGATCTACCAGAGATGAAGACACCTATTAACTCGTACGATGCCTGAATCAAGTCATTTAAGGACTCTGAAGGGCTTGCATGCCTCCGCCAACTTCCGCGCCCCAGGACGGCAATTTTTCCATTTTTATCATTGTTTCTGGTAGGCGAAGGAAGAACTGGTCCTCGGGTTTCGCATTGTTAAAAAGCCTGCCAATTGAAATACAAGTATGCAAAATAAGCGGGGATCAACATATAATAATTGATTTGGTGATCCTTATAACTGACAAGCACAACTAGTGGCTCTTTATTGGAACACAGTTAGTGGATTCTGTCTTACTACAAATCTGATTTTAATACAGGACCTAACCGAACATTTACCATTTATCAGGTGAAACTTTGGATCAGCAGATCACAGCCTTTCAATTGGATCTACTCAATCGAACCGGCCTATTAGGTCAAAGTGGCGCCACTGCCCACTGCGTCGTCTCTGAGGATGCACAGTCGCTCGTCGGGCCTGACCGCCGTGCTACCTTCTACGCGGTACCCACAAGGGCCAACGCCGGCCACTGGTAGGTGATAAATAGTCGGTTCCTTATCTATATCTATACTTCTATTCTTCTTCTCTAATACTCCCTCCATTCCTTAATGTAAATGTATATCTGTTTTCTGATAAAATTTCAAAATGTAATTAAGATGTATATTTTTCTAGGGTGAATTTCATATATGCCACTCAAAATTTGGCTGTACCCCCATATGCCATTGGAAATTTCCCTCTCCCAGATATGCCGCTAAAAACTATACAGATATGCCACTACAGCCATTTGATCGTTAGTTGATTGTTAAGTGGCACTTGAAAAGACGATTTTGCTCCTAGCCATTCCTTGTCACCATTTAGCCAAATGATCTTTTGATTTCTATTTATATATTCTATTTCAAAATTTCCCGCATGAATATGAGATAATTTTATAATTAGTTTCAGCATGGAAGTACTCCCTCCATTCTAAAATGTAAGTCTTTTTAGAGATTCTAACAAATGACTACATACGGAGTATAAAATGAGTGAATCTACACTCTAAAATATGTTTACATACATCTGTACGTTGTAGTCCATTTAAAATGTCTAAAAAGAATTATATTTAGGAACGGAGGGAGTACAAAACAAGTAAAATAATGTTAGCTGAGCTGCTCCCGTCGCAATTGGAGATGCCTCCGGTGCTTGCTGAGCTGCTCCCGTCGCCGCCATCCTGCGAGCGCTGCCGGCACCCGCGCGGGGAGGGAGCCGCGGCCAGGGCCGCGTGCGGATGTACCAGCGACTCCACCGCCGCCGAGTAGGTGGCCTCCAATGGACCGTCGGCGCGGGGAAATGTGGCTGCTCGGGGGCGTCGGCGATGTGCAGATGCGGGGCGGGGTCGTGGCCTCGTGTTCGTGGGGATGAGATGCGGCGCTAGGTCGTGGGTGGTCACTGGTGAATGCGGTGCGGTGCTGTTTTTTTTTTTTTCATTTTTCTGAACATGACTACAAGCTATAAGGGGAGAATGGTCTTTATTGGAAAAAACTGACATTATATGAGAGCTTCTACATGGTTAACTAACAGTCAACTGACGGTACTGGCGCGAACCAATCTATGGTTGGATGGTTAGAGGGGTTGTAGTAGAGACATTCCCGCCGACGATGAGGTGCTCATAGGGATAGGATGTGCGTGTGTGCAATTCATAGAGGTGAGTGTATGCACGTGTACATGAGCGCTTGCGTTTGTACTGTGTTCAAAAAACCCGAAGAGGACAGCGAGACAGCGTTCCCCCGCGCCCCCGATAGGCTCCCGCTAGGGTTCCGCCCTGCCGCCGGCGGGCCCTAGGCCCTCCCCGCCGCCGCCGCCCGCCCGGCGCGGCGTCCCTCTCCCCCGCCCCCGCTTTCCCGCTCCCGCTCCGCCGTTTCCACCGCCACCCAGCGCGAGCGCGGGCTCCCCGCCCCGCCCCTCCCCCCTTTTCCCCTCCTCCTCGCCCTGCCGCCTCCACCGTCTCCCCGGGAGGCTGCCGGGG